TTTTTGGATGTCATCTGACTGGAGACCAAAGCCAAGCCCTGCATTTAGCTGGCTCCATGTCACCACACCATGGGAAATTCCATGGTGACACCCAGTGCAAACAAGAGGCCACACTGCAGCCAGGCTGTTGCTGAGAGGGTGACAGGTTTCCACAGCTCCACTCTCCTTTTCTTTGTCTCAGAATGTCTCTCCTGGCCATATCAGCTGCAATGCCATGTGTCAGTCATGGTTTGCCCTGTCCCATCCCTCCACAGGGTAACTCAGCTTTAGAAAACCTCTTCACCAAATCACACCCCACTCTGTGTCCCTAGGGTGGGACTAGCCTGATCCTGTACTCCTGCTACCCTCCTTGAACCTCTGAAAGGCCATGCCAGGGCAGCCCAGGGGCTGTGAGCTCCATTTTGTGACATTTCCTCATATTGCAGGGCTTATCTCCACTCCAATGTCCCAATCTCAGCCAAACATGTGTGAACACAGATGTGAGATCAGGAGAAACCCTGCACTCTGGGGGAAAGTGGAGGAGCCCTGCAGCTCCCAGCAAAAACCTCCATCCACCCCCCTCTCTCCCAAGGCAATCCCAGAACAAAGGCAGACCTGGCAGGTGGCAGCATCTTCCACTTGTAATTCCATTTTCTGTTTAAGAACATGTAACGTCCTGGGTTAACAGCATGCACGAAAGTCAACAGGAAGGAAACTAATGGATAAACTCATCAGAGACAGCGGTAAACAATCCCAAATGTAGCTCTGCTTCCAGCCCCCACACTGCATCCATCTTGGCATTCCTCTGCACCAGTGGGAGATCTCACAAATGTTAAGGGAAAATAAGGGGTCGGTTTTAAATGCTTGTGTGAGATTTCAGTTCCCTGGAACCTGTTTATCTAAACCAAAGCAAACAATATCTTCGGTGACTTGTGCTTGTGACTTATTTCCCATGCACACCATAGATTAGTAAAGCCTGCATTTGGATCTGTTGACATTTAATAAAAGCTAGACACTCCAGGGGAAAATAAATAGTTTTTGTTCTGTAGCCATAGCTGGATTTCCTTTTGGTTGGAATCTTAGCTGGGTGCTCATAGCATTTATATGCAATTAGAATCAAACACAGCCAAGAAAATTGGAATCAAGACACAGGTTTGTATCTGGGCATGGAGATCATCACTCCATCATATTCTCACATGCATTAGGAGAAGAAAATATATTCATATTAATTTTGCTCATATTAAAGTCTTTAGGAAATCTGGCAAAAAAATAGATTTGCATGAGTAATCAGAACAGTCATTTGGAGGTTTAGAAATTGAATCATTGACTTAATCCATATGTTTTAGCCCAGATCTCTGAAACGTACTATGCTTGTTCTCAGATGAAAATACAACAGTTTTAAGGAGGCCAGCTGTACAAAAATATAGATATGTTGAACTTTGGACTGTCTAATAATAAAATATGAAACAAAATAGGTCTACTAGCAACATTTGAAAGACAAGGTGTTTATTGTGAGGGCAAGCTAATGCTATTCTCTTGAAATTTTATTTACATTTCATGAAATATGGCATAACCCTTGGGATCTAATTCTCCAATATATTATTGGTGGGAGAATATCTACATGCTGGCATCACCACTCTATCTGTATTTATGTTCAGCATTGTAAGGGCTTAGGAAAATGACACTTAAGAAGGCTGTAATAGCCATTAGCAAGTCCTTCCACAGCTTTCAGGTCTGGCCAAACAGAAGTGTTAAAACACATTTTCACCTAAGAGCATTCCTATTGATCACTTAAATGGCATCAGGAGGCATAATACAGGAAATTAAATTATTCTAAAGTATACCTTTAAAAGTAAGCATTTTATGGGCATTTAATGCAATAGATACATACATGCATGGACACATATAAAGTTTTCATATTTAGTGCTAATTTTAGAAACACCAGGTAGAAAATGTCTTCCCTTTTAAATGATTTATAAAGTTCATGTGCTGAGTAATCTTTAAAGTATGCATGTTAAACGGAAAATGCATGTTACACTTGAACCAAAGAGTTCTTAGTGTTACTTCTTGCTTTATCAAAACTTGAGAACTTTCTCAGATTTGTGTTCTATTTTAATCATAAGATTTTTTTCATTTCCATTATCCTGTGATCTGCAGCAAACAACCAAGTCTACTTAATGCTGTTAAAACAGGCTGCTCTTACATGAAAGGCCAGTGCTGGTAGTGAACTGGAAATGAAAGGTTTGTTCCAATAATAAGAAAACCTTTTTCTCAGAACTACTTTTTTCTACTGTCTCATAGTGATGGAAAGATCAAACACTATTTTAAACACAGTAGTTCTATACTTCAGCAACAAAATGCTTCTTTATAATGTGCAACCAAAAAAAAAAGTCTGTTGTTCAACAGTCTCTCTGATTCGGCTTCTTCTCTCATCCCTGTGTATAATGAACTCCAAATTTGTGCCTTATTTCTTTGTAGCTGCACATGCAGCCTCCCCCACACGTGTTCCCACCATCAGACATTGAAGTTCTAGGCTAATAGCAGATCCATGGTGCTTTCCTTGGGATTTGGGAAAAGCCTTTAAATAGATTTTTATTGGTTTGAAAGAACAAGGTTATTTTGTGTTAATAATGGGCACGCATTGGCCTTTAGATAATTGCTTTATGTAACTTAAAGTTTTGCCTTTCAGCTAAATAAACACTGTATGTGTTCACAGGTGTATTGTCCTCCAGGGCATTCTGCTTTTCAGGGTGGCAGCTGCTGCCAAGGTGTTGCTGATACAGCTCTGTGTATAATTTATTGGAAACAGGTGCTGGCTTATGATGAAGATAGACAGGAAACTAAAGCAGACAACATGTTTAACCACCATTAAAAAAGTTCAGGTTCAGAAAGACAATGTGTCTGAGATGTTTGGTTGATGTTGCCAGCATCTCAGTGAGAGTTTCCAAGCTCCCAGAAATCCCCATAAGGAACAGATTGTCCAGGAACTGCAGGAATTGCACTCTAACGAGCATTGCATGTGATGGCGCCAGTGCTGGTTGATTACACAGATCCTGTCATTTGCAATTAACGAAAATTAGGGAATGTGTTCCCAGGCTGATGCTAAAAATGACTTTGAAATGAGATTAATATCTAGGGCTCTTGGGCTGAGGATCCTGTGTGGGACATAACACTGATGTGGGCACAGGGACATTTGGGCCTTTGCATGATTCTAAAATCTTTTTGCCCACTCTTTACCAGGTGAGGATGGTAAAAAATGACTGGGAAGCACTAATATGTTAAAGCAAAAGTGGAAATCTGACTCAAATGTACAGAGAAAGGGCATTCCAGAGGAGAGTTCCTGTGCCACCAGTAGCTGACCCCAAGCTCATGCACTGCAGAAGGCAGAAGGATGGGGATGCTGTGGGAGCTGCTGCTTCAGACCATCAACACAGCACAGTGAGGGAGCAGGAGAGCAGAGAACAGATCCAGCACTCATGGGAATAGGTGGAAAGCCTTCTTTTGCCCTCAGTGGGCTTTGGATTCGATCCCAAGAGGAAAAAAAATGAACTTCTTTATTTTCTGAGGCCAAGTTAAACCATTAAAATTATTTAAACGTTGATTTTTTTTCTCCCCTCTTCTTACTTCCCTTTGCTTTTATTGCAGCTTTAATTTTTTTTTTTTAATAAGAAACTTTCAATAGGGGTTCATGAGGATGTTTATTCATGGATAGCAGTTTGCACATTTTAGCAAGTAATCTCCAGTTTAATCTCTAGTCTCTATAAGATACATATGTAGTAAATATGCATACTAAATATTTTTAAAAGAAGTTGTTAAAGTGTGTGCACAGTTCTTAAACCTCAAACCTTAAATATCTCAGTGATTTACATTTAAAAAAATACCCAAAGGCATCAGACCACATTATGGACTAATAGCCTGCCAAATTTCATTTTTTTGAAAATGTTTGAGTTACAATATATGAGTGTAAAAAGGCAACTGAAACAACAAAATTTGGTCGAGAAAATATTGACCCCAGGCTGAGACCTTTTACGCCAAAAATGCTGACAAAACTTTATACCAACCCTAGGAGGCATGTCATGTTTAATACTGGCAGTATATGGAAAAAAGTTTGGCAATTTAATGCTTGTAATAATTTAAAAATCTTTTATGCAGTGGGTATAAGCTTTTACATTACCATTCCTAATTTATACCAGCCTTCCTTTTCTTTCCCAAAGAATAAATGAACTACAGTAGTGGGGATAGAGCTTGCAGTGAAATCCCCCAAACATATAAACTGGTGAAGCCATTTGCTGTACCCCACCCAAACCCACATACCTGGCTTGGAGTGATCACCCCTTCCATCTGATGGATAATTCCATTTTCATGCCATTTACATTTCTGGATTATTTTTTCACATAAATTTTTCATAGGAAAGCAAATAGTTGAAATGAAAACAAATCTCTTTAAAGGAATATATGTAGAAAATCTTTATTTATATTGAAACTTCTTCAAATAAATATTCCGTTAACAAACTTGTGTAAAGAATGATAATGTTTCATACTTTACCAAGTGATGAAATAAAATGCCAGGAAACAAGTGGAAAAATTTGATGATTGATTATTAGGCTCCTAAAGCAAATAAATGTGCACAAGTTAATGATAGTTCCTTGTGATGGAAGTTTCAGTGCACCAGTGCTCTGTAAAAAATAAATGAGTGGCAGGAGCCAACCAACTCTCCACCCTAATGCTTTGCATTTTAGAGGTCTACTCTCTACCACCAAGTTACTGTGAGCAATGTGGTGGTTTGAGCTCCCCCACAGGCACAGATGAGTGATTAAACTGCCCTGACAGAGCTGTGAGAGGAACAGGGGGTGAACAATGCCCCCCAAGGCTGTGCTGAGGTCACACCTCATGCACTCAGCAGGGAGGGATTCTGAGGGAGCTGTGTCATGACCACATGTGAGCGACTTGTGCCCCAGTGATTACACAAGGACTAAAAGGGCCCTGCTTGATTACTAAAAAAACAAAACCCAACAAGCCCCACAGGATCAGCACTGGCAGCTGAGCAAGGGCAGCACAGCCCTTTTCCCAGGGCTGGCTCCAGTGGTTTCCAAACTCCTATTCCCACTTACACACCCAGGTTATGTTCTAGATAGGGACTGGAAATAATTACAAAAAAGATAAAGGAGCCATCAAATATTTCATTATAGCCAGTGGTTGTTCTAGGACACATAAAATCCCACCTGGTGTGGGCTGGGCACACCTGCTGACCGTGCTGCTGCTGATTCCAAATCAAAGCTAATTGGCAGGAATATCTTCCAAGGTTACGGAAACCCAGCTTACAGTCCATGAGGACTCAAATCATGAAGGGAGCTTGTTAATGTTGTCTGCCAGGACTGTCCATCCTTCGTGTGAAAAGGTTTGGGACCTGGAGCAGTGGGTTGGAGGCACAGAGCCCAAGCTGTGATAATCCCTCCTCACATCTTCTAGGGTTCCTCAGGCACTGCTGGGATGGAATCACTGGGCAGGGCTGGCTGTATGTCAGGTGGCCTCCCTGCTTCTTGGTGTTCTATGATGGGTGACTTGCTCAACATGGTTGAATATTGCTCATCTGAATGAGCAAGTACACACCAATAAATTACTGAAATTCACTTCTCAACCATCTCAGTAGACATCCATGAAGATTTTGGTAACTCCAGATGATGCCATTTGCCAGTGCTGTAGTTGAAATTTTTGCATGAGGTATTTTATTTAGCATCAAGTTAGATGCATAAATAAGAGGTAATCAAAGTGAAAACAGAGCACTTCAGTTCTGACAAAGTGAACTAATTCTGTGAACATGGGTTAGATTGTTTTTCTCTGACAAATTTCTTCATTGAATATTTGGAAATTTTGGAGTTTTGTTCCAGTTTGGAGCAAAGCCATATTTCAAGACCCTGCATGAGATGGATCTCCTGTGTTTGACAGGGCTCTAATTTTTTTCTTTTTCTACTATGAATGGGAAAAAACCCAAAAGGTAAACAATGGTTCCCCTGCTTCTCTCACTGAGCTTTGTCAAAAGTGAGCTCTACTCAAGTGATAACTGCAGTAAACTTCTGCTTTATACCAATCATTCATATTTTCATATTCAATAAATGAAATCTTCATGCTTCTTGCACCCTTCTGATGCCTTTGGTATGTAAAATCCAGAACTTACTCATCTTCAGTCCCAGCAGAATGACTGAAGGTAGTTTTTTTTTTCTGTCTTCCATCTCCTTTGTTAAACAGGAAGAATGTACATATGAAATAGAAAAATAAAGGAAAATTCAGAAACAGTGAATCAATAGGTATAAAAGGTATCACTGAGGCTATATAAAGGTGCAAAAGGTAAAGTTATTTGATTACTTTGGACAGGGATAGAGGAGTGTGGCAGAAATATTAGAATAGTGATTTGGGTTGTTTCACTGGAAATGTGCAACATCTTTCTCTTCCTCAGACCTGGTGGAATTCATGCAAATGTCACAAAGCCTGACTGAATAGTGAGAAAACAGTTATGCCTAGAAATGAATGGAAAAGTCAGTCACCCCCAGTGGTACACTGAAAACCTGACAGCAGACAAAGAGCAGGCTCTGGGCAACACAAAGCAAGAGGTATGGACCTCAGACATACTGAATAATACATGTTTATCTTAGAGATCATTCTTAATTTGCTTACTTTGAAGTCCTTTGTCCCATTTGCTGCCCTGCATTGCCACGAAAGCCAGGAGCATCTCTCAGAAGCATGGGTGGCTCTTTGTGATGTGTGGAGCACAGGGAGAGTTTGTTGCTCCATGTAGTGGTTAAAGCTGTGAAGCAGAAAAATGGTAATGAACTAAGGAGCAGTAGACAAAGAATAGCAACCAGCATCTTGCCTCCCTTCACTGCAGACACAAAGGGATCTTTAATAATGCAGGGTTCCCTATATAAAAAATTTTGTATCACCTCACCTGTAAATGTTGATGTTTCCATTTTCCTTGAGGCAGTTCAGGACCCGTAGACGTGACTGCTTTTCTTTTGTGGTTGAGATTTGCAAAGAAGTGCTTCAAAAACTTCTGCTGGATTTGTTAGTCAATTCAGGAAAGGGATGTTGGATTCTGAGGAACAGAAAGAAGAGAAGAAACTTCATTAAAATATGCATTTCTATTTCAAATTCTAATCACTTCTTATATTTATGTATTTTAAAAATTAAAGCTTGTGGAAAGGAAAATATGTGGTCTTCTCCATCATGACAAAAATACTGAAATCCACCAACTACCCTTTTACCTCTAAGTGGCCATAGAAATCACAAAATGCTGCCTCTGTGTTTCAATAGCAAAAAGGCATTTTGCACTGGGCATGAAGTATGAACAACATTTACTTCTGGATTTGTATGTACACCGTAACCAGCTACATGTTTGCAACAGCTTGTTTGCCTCAACATGTCTGCAATGTGAAACTTGTGAATTATGCATGTCACTGGTGCCAGCAGTCTTAAAAAGTGATTAAAAGTCTGAAGTTTATGTCTCTAGGAATGTATCTGTCCCTAAAAGACCTGCAGAAGAGGCTTAAATCTAAAGAAGATTTCAGGAGATCAAATCTACTGGATTAAATGATTCTGCACCAAATTCAGTGACTACATAAACAACACAAATCTTTTCTGAAGGCAGTGGTCAATATTCCACAGCTTATTCCACAGCTCAGTTTTCTTCCCAATGCTTGAAAATGAATTCACATTTGCCCAAATTGTTCTTCCTTTTAATTTCAATGTCATACTTTTATGGATACACAAAAAAACATCCTAATACCTATTTGGAAAAATCTAGTCTTTTGCATTATAAACAAACACATTAAAAAAAACCAATTAATTTTTATCTGTTTAAGACAGGATTAAGTGGATATCATACAAGTCAGACACAATCCTCCTAACAATTTTCCTAGAATTCCCTCATTGGCATCTACATTATAAATATAGAAATAGCTTTAATTCTTTGGTACTCACCAACTCAGTTTAGAGCTAAGAGAGATGATGCCATTCCATAAGTCCCAGTCAATCTCATCCATACAGAAGTTACAGTGTGTTCTCCAAGAGTGCTAACTTGTCTAGAAGTCGAAACCATCAGACTTTCTGAGGGATCAATCCTGCTTAACACATTATGTTTTAAGCACTTATGAGGATTACAAAATGGAATAACTTGTTAGAAATGTGACAAAATAAATTGTCTAATTCTTCATCTGCTATGTATAGCATGGGAGGGTATGGAAAGTTCTGTATCACCCCCCTTGACATCATCCCAAATGAGTTTATCTTATGTTATCTTTTTATTATCCTATTTTCTTGGTAAAAGTTGGGCCCTTTAACCAAAAGAGAGGGCAGCAGAGAATGGGAGGAGGTAACTAATTAATGATCCACCCACTTTTCAGGCAGATTTACCTCCTTCTGATTCCATCAAAATGGATTTGTGAATGATTTACTTTGCTTTTTTCTTCAGGTAGGAACAGTAAGGCCAAGTCTATGTCTGTGTTTTGTAGCAAATAAAGCATAACTCCATTCAACCAAGTCCTTGATGCTTTGAATTCAGGAGCAGTGGAGCACAAGGTGGCAAAAGGGGCCAGGGGGGAAGTGCTGATGGTTGGAGCTTTGGCATTTGTGACAGAAACATCACCAGCACATCAGGCACTTGCAATCACCTCACACTGAGTTCATGGCCAGGGAAGCTCAGAGCTGTACCAGCTGCCTCCTGCTCTCCACAGCTCAGGATGATCCCTAGCTCTGGATTTCTGCTGAATATAAAGCTACACAATTCTTGTCCCTATTATTGGCGAGACATTTCTTGGAAACAAAAAATTATTCAGTGTTCAGAAGAGGTCTCCTGCCTGAAAACTTACTTTTTGGGCAGAGTCCACAGAGGTGGCAAAAGATGCTTGAAAACTCCACTCTGAGTTCTCAGCTGGAGATACAGTGGGCTCTTCCTGGCTGATTTGAAAACAGCAGAGACCAACCTGAAATTACACCACAGGAATAAAATTCTCCAGGGACTATCCTGCTGACAGATCCATTTCAAAATACTGCAAATCCTGGCTGTGTCCCATCACTCTCCAAAAGCTCAAAAGAGCAGATGTCCTGAAGTGGCTAAAGCAGCATGATGACTCCCTACACCACAGGATCACCAGATGTCCTCTGCAGGCAGCCTAAAGATTGCTTCTCATTGCTGGGCCAAAGGAAAAAGCTGGGAATCTGGCACAGCTTTAGAAATTATTTCCCTCCTAAGTGTATCCTGTGGTTTTTTCTTTTCTCCAAAAACAGAGTTGTTTGAAAATAAAGGCTTTAAAATATCCAGGCAGAGACGGGTGTGTGGCCTCCCTTTATTTCAACAATCCCCATGGCTGGTTGTTCTACAATGCCAACAAAGTTGGTCCCTAAGCTGGAAGGATCCAGTTTTCTCTTGGCTGTCTGGCCCAAATGCCATGAAATTCAGTTAAAAGTGCAAAGACCTTAGAGAAAGGAGGACAATACTTCTAAGCAACACAGTACTGCAGAAAGAAAAGAGTGTGGGGAACAAGTCTCAAAGGAATCCCAAGCAAAGTGTAAAGGAGTTGAGACAGAGAACAGAAGATGATGCCTGGCGGGTAGTGCAAGATGGTAAAGAAACATAATTTCTGACAGATGTTCTCCAAAAACTGCAAGAACCCTTGCTGTAGCTCGGCTCTTTTCTGTCAGGAGTGGCTGCTGCCCAGCCCTGACCCTGTCCAGCCCAGGCTGGGCCAGGCCTGCACACACCTGGTGGGGATCAGCTCAGCCCTTCTCCTCCCCAGCACTGCTCTGTCACATCCAGCTTCACCACCAGTCAAACATTATGTTTAAAGTGTTGAGAAAGGGCAACCCATGCAAATAATGAAATCCATGAAACTGTGACCAATAAGACAAAAAGTTCAAAATTAGATTTGATGGTTCACAGTGAAGTTCCCAAAGTCGTGACAGCTGACAAAAACCAGTACCCACTCATCTTATCCCACCTTTGTTTAGAATGGATTTGACAATTAGGGGTGATATCCTTTTGTCAAAACAAGCCTTCTGTTAGTATTTTACAGGCACTCTAGGGATTCTGGCAAAGGGCTCACTTTTTGTACAGTTTATCTGGAGTAGAAATTTCCATTTTATCAGATGATGCTATAAAGTGAGATGAGTAAGAAAAATTACTCTTGTTTTTTCTTTTGTTTTTCTGATTCAGGAAAATAATGAGTCTGCACATGGGATAAAGGGAATCTAAACAGAGAGAAATACTTAAAAATTTAGCTCAATGCTAGAAAATGGTTCTAAATATAAATACAGTTAAATACATGTCTATGCACAAGCCTCTTTTTTAAAGTATAAAAATCTATATTTATATAAATTGCTATCTGCAAGATTCATGCACATGTCTCACAACAAAGTTCAAGAGCACAGGGAATGGCATGCAATACTGAAAGAGGAAAAAGCTGAAAGATTAAACTGGCCAGGGTTCCCCAGGAGGCCCATCAGACCTGCATTCAGGGGACACAAACCCAGCACACACAGGCTTAGGACTTGGGAGAGGAAATGTGGTTATGGCAGAAGCACAGCCAGTATGATCGAGATCACCTTCCTTGATGTTTTCTCGACCCCCAGGTGCACATTGAGCTTTGGCAGTGCCATGGGGCATTGCTTTCCAGCCAGGATTCTTCCACAACATCCATATCCTGGGAAACATTGGGAAATGGTCATTGCTTTGAAGCACAACAACAATCCCCAAACTTTTTAATTTAAAAAAAAGTAATTTTTATGAAAGCAGAAAATTCCAGTTGTCTTGACCCCAAGCACCCAACGACACCAAAGGAACACCAGCACCTCCACCTCACGAGTGGTGCAGAATGTGTGTGGCTGGTCCTGTCAAAAGGGGAGCATGAGTAGACCTGAAATCTTTATAATGGATCAGAGACACCAATTTTTCACTAAATTAGATTTAAACTGTAATTACATACTTACTCATTTTGCATTTCTTGGGAGCAGAAGGTTGTTCTAAATATAGTTCTGATACACAAGATCATCACAGGAGCAGTACGACTGGCAATAATGTTTTTTTAAAGACAGCAGATGTGTTCTTTGTGTAATAACAGGGCAACATGTATAAATAATTTTAGGTCTGCATAAGATATTGAGGAGGTCAAAGCAGTCCTTTTTCCTTTCTGTGACTGGGGTGTGGGTAGGCATCTGAATGAAAGAAAAACTTGCAGCAGAGACTGTCTTTTTTCCTTTACTTCACTTGATCCACCCAAGTAGGAATATGGAAGAAAAAGGCTTTAACATAGTTGTCACTTTGAAATGTTCCAGTGTTTTAATTAAAGTCCAGAGTCTGGCAAAATTTGTCAAACTTTCCCTTTGAAAATAAGCTGGGTTTAACCTTCAAGAACATTTCCCTGGGTTGTTAACACAGCTCTTGTCCAAAGCTTTGCTGAGCAGTGAGGTAGGACGAGGTGTGCTCCACATCCTTTTGAAGTGGGTGGAAAGACTCTCATGGTCCTCAGAGGGCTTTGGCTCAAACTCATAATTCTAAATTTAGGCTCACTTGTAATTGTCCTTTTTCCTCCACTAACAGCTCCATAACTTTTTCTATTTATTTGCTTTCGTAATCAGAGGAGACAGAAAGAACTATTATATTCTTCCTTATGATATTCATTCATTATTCCAGAAATAATGTTTTTTTTAACCACCTTTTGGTATGTTCATTAGAAGAATGAGAAAAAGATCAGAGGCAAGCAAAAGCTGAAGTTAATCTGCAGATGGGACCCAGTAGCTGATGCAAAAGGAGCAGACATACTCTGAGACAAAACAGATTAAAGAGAGCAGAGATGATGTAATAAAGAAAAATGGGTCAAAATTCAAGGTGACATTTCCTTGGTTAGAGCATTATTGAAGCCAACAGTCTTGCAAAAGCAGGGTCAGGTTGTGACTAAGAGTGAGACTAGTAGACTAGATGGTTAGTCTAGCCCTAAACTCTGTCATCTGAGAGGTTTTAAGGAGTGATCCCTCTTGGTTTTGTCCATCATCCTAATTCAGTAGTAAGAGTGGAGACCAGATCAGAACCTGGTGAACTCTGCAGGATCTAGTGGGAAAAAATTTGTGGGAATGGCTACTATTGCTGGAGTTTTCCCTTGTTAACAAATGTCCTCTTTTAAGAATAATGCTTGAAAAAGCCTGATGTCCTAAAAGACAAGTTAATATTGTGTTTGTCCTTGATGCAACTTTACAGGTGAGGTCTGCATTCCACAATGTGAGGACAGGAGTTCAGTCCAGGTGGGGAACAAGATCTGGCAGCTCAAAGTTCCAGGGGAAGGCTTTAGTGCTTGGCTGCACTTGCACCACTATGGCCAGAGCTCTGTATGGGGAAAAATTCACGGGCTTGGCATATACAGGAGGGGAGAAAGCCTCAGTGGCTGGAGATTCCACAGATAAACCCTCATTGTCTACAAAGGAAAAGCCCTTGGCAACCTAGATAATATTTGAGATTAATTAACAGTTTGTTTAATGAAGCTGCAGCCAGACATCTTTAATCCAAACACCTTTGTAAAGCACATTTATATGCAGAGCTTGGGGCAATTACCAAAAGTACTGCTCTATAATAAGAAAACAAAACTCATTTATGAAATAATATACATGTATTAATACATTAAACCAAAGAATAATATACACTTAGATATAACATAAAAATAACTCTACAAGCCAGACAACTTTGACAAGATCTCCTGGACATTTAAAAAGCACAATAAACATCTGCTTTATTTCTGAATGCCAAACCTTAAAAAACCCACTCTCTTGTTAAAAGTCCAGCTCCTTATTTTAATTAAATTACCAGGTGTTTATAAAATATCATTCTCTTGTGGAACTACAGTAAACAGGAGAGATCCAAACCCCTGTAAATTGAGAATGCAGGCTTCAGCTGTCAGGATGTCATTGGGAAGATTCAAGCTGCTTTGTTGGTGTGCATTGGTGCACTGACAGATGTATACTGACCATTTGAAGGAAAGTGAATGAGTTTAGAAGAACAAGTAGAATTGCTAAACAAATCATGTTTAAACACAGGGGAAAAAAAGGACAATGGAAAAGGAAAAAAAATAGGAGTTTCAGTAGAGGGTATCTTATTTTATTGTACTTATTATGCCTTTACTGGAACACACTAGAATAAATGCTCTGGGCTGTAAAATAACACCATTCAGCACAGAATGGATTCAATTCAGTCAGAACATCTTTTCTGATCCTTTGATTACATTTGAGCAATGTCTGTGATTATGTCTCCCTTTTCTGGGAAAAAACACCAAAACATACCATGACATTGCTGCATGACATGGAAAACCTTCTCTGGTTTGTATAGATGTACATATACATTTATCAAATTAAACAGTGGCACTTTAAATCAGCAATGAAGGAAATATAGACATGACAAGGAAATCTAGGGAAATACATGTTGTTAAGAAAAATAGGAAGTCTTTTCAAGAGTGTATTGTCTCTCTTGTAATTCATTAAGATGGTATGAACAGATTACAAGAGTTGTTTAAAACAAAATTGTTATTAATACTATAGATAAGAAAGAAAAAATATATCTTGTAATAGACACACAAACATACTCTACTGCTTAGTATTTGATGACAAAAAAAGATGATACAAACAATGGCCCAAAGATAATAAATTCCCTTGCATCACACTGTCTGAGAAGCCACTGCTAAAATCCTTCTATTAGAGATGAATCTTTTTATATCAAAGATTCCATGCACTATAAATCCAAAGGTTGTTAGGGTACAGTAGAAATATGCAATGCTGCCAGAAGCCAAAGGAGGAAGCAGAAGGATCACAGTAATTACAGGTCAGTTATTCTGGCATCAGTCCTAACCAAAATAATGAAAAGCTGATAAGGGCTTCAATGGGTATAAAATTAAAGGATGGCAGTATAATTGGTGCCAGTCAAGATGGCTATATGGAAAAGTAAGTCTAGCCAAACATTTTGCTGAATGCAACTACACAGGTGTAAGACTTGCATAAGACACTTGGCTTAGTCCCTCGGGGTAGTCTGATTAAAGGACTGGCACTGACAAAAACAATTTATGGGCAGAGTGGCAAACACCAGCATGAAGTTGCATGTTCAGCTTCCTGCCTGACACTGCTCCTGCATGCAGCCAGGCTAACCAGGGCCAGGCAGAGACACAGGCAGGGAGACCAGGAACAGTCTGTCATCAGAGGCAAGGGAACAGCAACAAGAAATCCTGAAAGCAGTCCCAAAGCTCCCCTAACTCCACTAACCAGAGTTTTTCATGTAAAGAATCCAAAACCTAGGAAAACTCTGCAGGACTTCAAGTGGAAGACATATTATGAGACACGTACTTAAAATCTGGATGGAGATCAGTGTCCAAACATTTGAGGTTCAGAGTAATGGGCAGGTTCAATTCCATTGCAGAGAGAGCATCTGGGGGATTTGTGGCAAAATATATAGACTGATCCCTGAAAGTTGCAACAGGAGAACTGAATCATAGTGCATTCCAAGCCCTACTAAACAACTAAGTCTAGTCCCAACAGATTTTGTGTACGTTCATCACAACACAGATGCTTTCATGTCTCAAGTCTCTTGGGAACACCATGTGTTTTGTCTGTTTTGTTTCTTAATGATTTGCAAACTTTTCAAACTTGGCTGTGTTGCTACTTTGCTTGTGGGTTCAAGAAAAGACAAGAACACATAAAGCTTTGATCCACATGCTACAAATGTACTAGAAAAAAAGAGAAGAGAAGAAAACAGTGCTGTCAACAGGAAGATATAAGAGTTGGTTTGTGTGAATGGGGATAATTAGTTGAAATGTGATATGGAAATTGTTTTGGTTTTTTCTTTCTGGAAAATATATATATTTGTGAGAACAGTTTTTATGTAAAGTGTTTTAGAGAACATTTTATATCAGATTAAATCTCAAAGATACTTTTTCTGGTTTCACCACAAAAAAAGAAAGGACATTGAGTTTTATAGTTAGCTGCAGAAAATTGTCATTAATATTTTTATCAGCTATAGATTTAATAATCTCAAAGACTATTAGATCTCTTTATGTTTTTAAGTATCACATTTCAGAAAGTATGGGTCAAGAATTTTGTACATCTCACTTTAGGGAGCTCAGCCTACTAACAAGAGAAAAAGAAAAGATACTTTCTGTGACTTCTCTGCCTTGCTAGAGAAGTTTATCCAGCAGAAGATGCTGCTGTGGGACAGACAGCTGCTCACCTGGCTGGTCCAGCTCAAAGGCAGTAAGTGACTGTCTGGAAATGGCAATTTTCCTTCTCCTCATCAGATGGCTGTGAATTAAATCCTAAATAACAGCTGGGCTCCTGGTCCAAGCCAATTGTCTTGGCTCCCTCTATAGTCCAGGAAGGAAATAGGTACTTCTGAATGGCAGCTGCTCCCGTGAATGCCAGCAGTCTGTCTTTGTGGAGTGACATGTCTTGATCCCCAGTGGCTCTAGAGGGAACCTTGATGAGCAGCTTAGCCTGGAACTCAAACCTTCAACAGCCAACACCAGGTGAGGAGAATTATATTGAGTGGTACCACTGATACATATATCTAAAGCCAAAATACAACTGTGCCCATGAATTTAGCCACATGGGTCAGGTTTCACAAACCCAGATAAGCACTAGAGATTTGACTCAGGCTTTAGAAAAATCCATTTCATATTTGAGTCAAATGTAGCTATAAAATGAAATGTGAGAACCTTATATATATTTGAGAGGAGTGTTATGAAAATCACTAGCTGAGAGGGCAGAAAGAGGCAGAGGTACTTTATAGCTTTCCCTTGGCTCAAGGGAGGCATGGAGCAAACTCGAATTTTGCCTCCAACCCTCTCCAAGAAAATGGGAGAATGGCTGTCTACAGTTTTTCAGCTTTGGTGCAAGGCTGTGATTCAAAAGCAATTGTGGTAATTGCTGTAACTACAAAGTTAATGCATGCAACGTTAATTTTGTTCACAGAGAGTTGTGCCAGTAATGGCACAATCCATCATTTTTTGTTAAAACAGGAACAGGTGTTAATCTCCACTCAGCAATGGGTGCAGTGTGAGTGAGCAATAAGAAAAGTGCCAAAGAAGAAAAACCACTGTCAAAGCTCTCTGTCACAGAAAAACAATTTCTAGCAATATCTCTGTAATTGGACTCAACTAAAGAGTGAAAAATGGTTTGACTTTTCAGTGACAGGGATTGTTAATGAACCCAATTTTTCTCTTCCACCTTGATTAGCTTTCTGTACGAAGATCCATTTTAGCTCTGTACAATGTAGCTTAGGGTAAGAGACACCCAGCTGCTGTAATCTTGTCAGTACTCCCACTTGCAGAAAAGTAATTTTTTTTTCTTAGATAGGCTGCTAAACTATTACCAGGTTTTCAAGCATAATGGAAAACAGTGCAGAATAGAATTTCAATAGGACTTCAACAACAATTTTGGTATTTTTCTAGCTTTAACAGCAACCTTACAAGATTTTTTAATACTTTGCACATCCTGCCCTCCCAGGCATAAATTTATCCTCCCAGGGTTCTGGGTGTTCCCGGATACCCTTGGCACTCCAGTGTGGGGTTGCTCAGCTCCATGCAATGCTACTTTGCAGAGCAAGAGCATAGCCAAAATCTCCAAGGGCTGGCTGTGCAAACTGGTTCATTCAGTGGCACTCAGTTTGTCAACAGGGCTCATTCCAAGCAGGTAGCAAAGCATTCCCAATAAGCAATCAGAGCAGTACTGCACTTTAGTTACACTCTGTATTTGAGATATTCCCAAGGGCCATGCCAGGGGCACCTGCATGGTTTGGTCTAAGTAAAGGAGTATGTTTGTGCTGCCCAATGCTCACACCTTTTCCACCAAAAGCATGTCTGAACATTTTTTGTTAAAAAGCAGCCCATGATCCTGACCTTGTCTGTCCTACAGCCCACTGCAATAGCATTGGGAAAGACCAAGATCATTTGGGCAATGTAAGAAAGAATAAAAGGAAGTGGTTGAGTTGGAAATATGTTTTTGGAACAAAAGTGAGCTAATAACTAAACCCAATTCTCTGGATTTGTATTAATGCTTAACTAGTGCTACCCAAGGAGTGTCTTCAGCACTGGGGATACAGTCTGATACATTATCAGTAATGAACCTATTGAAAAGCAAAATACATGTTTTACATGATTCAAATACAGAGACTTGAGAAACAGAAGCAGTTTTGAAAAGCCAGTTCACCACCCTCTGTGCAGTGTTACCCTCTGGAGTGATATGGCTCCCTTGGTATCAGGGAAGCAGTGCCTGCATGAGCAGGTGGCACCTCTGAACTTCACTCATGGTCTGCCCTTGATTTCACTGGATTTGGGGTCAGCTGCAGACAGGATGAGGATTTGGGTAATGCATCTGCCTCATGTGAAAATTCAGGCTTTGAGAAAGGACAGCAGATAAGCAGCATACCCATAACATTCAGCAGGAAATGAAATATTTTGAGAAACAGTGAAAAAAAAAAAGTTCATAGTTTATGTCTTTCATATGAGTATAGTCAGTTATTGCAAATATTCCTTCACCTGTCCAGCTGATCCTTCCAAATTACTCAGTGAGTGAAAGC